CATGTCTTTGAGCATTTTGTTGAATGGGGTATGTAATTGTTAAGAATTAAAATAATATGGAAGACTAAACCAATTTTAAACGTGATTACCACCTAATAGAATATATCAGCCAACCTACAATTAAAGAAATGAAATTAATAAACCAATATGAGGACATATCCTCCTAAGATACAATAAACCAAATGAAAAGAGAAATTCCATCAGCTTGAATGTGCATGCGCATTTGACTCTCTCATCCGTGTATCACTTATAGAAATGAGACAATTATTATTTACATAAAGCTAAGTGAGTAATTTTTCATAGACTTGGTTTTCACAATTTACAGTCTTAGTGGTCATAAAAACTATCTCACAAAAAGAGGTGCTAACAGAAATGTCTTAGACTAAGTAGTTTTGGAGGAGATATGCCATACTATGAAAAACCAACACTATGAAAACAACATTAATTGTGTACATTTGCCATACTTTAAATTTTGTCTAGCGAAAAGACAACTAAAAAAGTGAAAAATATCACAAAGTAAACACTAACAAAAAACTAATACACAAGTCTGTTTTTCAATAGTTAAACTCTTGTTATAATTTATTACATGTAAAGCTATACAAATGAGTAGCACTGGACCAGAACATCTAAATTAACCTCAATGCATACACGATAATATCATAAAGGTTCAACCATTCCACTTTATAAAAAATCTTATTGGATCAAGCAAGGTACTTTAAAAGCTAAGAGAAAAGTTAGTGAGCATTAAGCAAGCACATAAGATTTCTAACATTTTTTTCCTGTAATCAGCTTTATCATATCTCAGAATTTGGCGTGAGGTTCTGTCTTTGTTGTTAAAAAGAAAAACCAAGAAGATGGTATCAAATGTTATGTTAGAACGAGCATGTGTGCTCAATCACTTTACATTCCTAGCATCTTAGCAGTAAGTAAATGACTTTCAAAAAAATGGCAATACATGCAGATGAAGCAAAATCAGTAAAAAAAAAAATAGATAAAAGAATGGATTCACTTGAGATCAACCTTTGACATGTACAAGAGGGTAAGAATAGCACCGAAGTGGCTCATACCTTGTAAGATATGAGCCAACCCACATGGCTACAGAGCAACTAGAACAACCAGGTTGCTGCTGCGTTTTCCAAAAAGCCAGCTGGCAAATGAAATGCACAAGGTAAGTAAAATGCCATTTCTGCCTCCTAATACCCAAGCAAGCATGTAACCTGTTTTGTATCTAGCATCCAACTTTTGGTCAAGCAAGGCCATAAGGTTACTAAATGTCAAAGTTAGTTGAATGCCTGCTGTGTACATTAGGAAGAGAGAGAGAGAGAAAGGATGACATAAGCACTTCACAAAAGGGCCGTCTTTCTTTGTCATGAGTTTTTTCATCAGTAAAGGTATCTAACGTCAAGTTTAGGACATCCCACAAAGAGAGGCAAATCCAAGTTCTGTACAGTTCTAAATGTTCTTGAAACCATCTTGTCAACATACATAGTTCCGTCCAAGTGATCACACTCGTGCTATAATATGTGTGCTTTCCACAACTGGTCTGAACCCATCAACACTTAAACAACCGTAAAAAACAACACGTTTTGTTTCCTTTCTTTACCAGTTTTGGATTGATAATGACCAGTAGATCAAAAGGACATCTATAATGAAAAAATAATAATAATTTTCAAGCACATTATGAACAAAAAGAATAATTTTCTCAAACAATATAGTGAAACAAAAGTTTCAAACAAATAACATTAGATATCAATCAAGCATAAAATTTAAAAGAACAAAATTAGATTTAAAACCCTAAACCACAATAATGAAAAAGGGGGAAATATTGTCTAATGAATTAGGGTTAAAGAGCCTAAACCACAATAATAAAAAAGAGGGGAAATGTTGTCTAATGAGTTAGGGTTAAGGAGGTTGAATTGAAAGAAGATGAAGGGTAAATGAATACCATCGGCGGCAATTAACCAGGTCGGAGATCGATCCTCCATGTCGGACTCGCTGGCGGGTGGTTGGCCTTGTAACTTCCAAGTCGTTGCGAAGACTCCAGGCGGCGATGGCTAAACAATCTGCAACGCTCCCGATTCAATCATGAGAAACCACAGAGACAAATTAAATGGCTTGTGATTGTTAAATGGGGAGGAGATGGATTGCAATGAAGAAATGAAGAAGAAAGAAAGGAGAAAGAGGGTAGGGGAGAAAGGAGAAATGGCACAGAGAAGAAAGAGTTGAATGAGAGAAGGGGGAGAGAAAAAGGGTAAAAAATTAAAAGTGGAATGATAAAAACTAATACCATTTATATAGTGTGTACAATATGTGTACACTTGATGTACACTAAGCATTTTGGTTTTTAAAATTTTAATGAAGACTTCGTACTAGGCTAACTAGGATAACAGACTAGACTTTTCCATTTTTTCTCCTAATTTTCTATTGGACCATCTGGACAGGCTCTCATGCGTGGACGTGTCTATCTTTATCTTTTGTCTACTGCTGTTTTAACTTTTGTCTACTGCTGGCCGCAAACTATATTGGTAGTGGGATGGCCATATATTAATGTATTGATATATTACATATATATAATAGTTGATTTTTAATATAAAAAAATGATGCCCCCAATGGAGGTGGTGCTCTAGGCCATTGCCTAGGTGCCTGCCATCCATGGACGGCTCTGTACATTAATTTTTACAGTAAAACATGGGTTTTTAAAATTGTAATATTCGTATTTGTTTTTCAACAAAAGGGATAAATTATTTTTAGAAAATTTTAAAACAAAATCTCGAAGCTAACGTTTATAAAAATCTCACTATTCACTCATAATAATCAGTTTTAATTAAACCCACAATGTAATCATATTCAAACGTGTTTTGACGGTACATTATTTTGATTTTTTTTAATTTGGATAATTAGCTTATCTTATCCAAAACTATCATCAAATTCACAAATCTATTCTCTTTATGCACTTTTATAAAAAAAGACTCAAACTTCATCTTTTTCAACAATTATGCTTTTCTTTTTTGTTTTTTCAAAACTACACAATTTTATCAACATCAATAAGATATAAGCAATACAAGTTTGTAAACTTAAAACTAGAAAGAAGTGAAAATAATATGAAATATAAATACTGGTCCCGATTCGGGCCCACCCTCTAATTTAAAATAAAAATAAAAAATTATCGGTTGGGACTGGAACCAGGCCCGAGACCTGCAGGTCCCATCCCAAAAAATCAGGCCTGAGCTGCTCCAAACAGTATCGGTCCCAGTCCATCCCTAGGCACCAACGCCCCCAAGGCCCTAACCCAACAACAACACTATCCCTTTTACTAACTTCTTAACGAATAGCTCAAAATTAAATAATAACGTGGAAAAATGGAATAGTTTCTCAAATTCATTAGGGATAGAGACACCAATATTAATAAAAATGAACTCATTTACAAAAGTGACCATTTTTTAAAATTTCCAAAAATGTGACCCGCTACAGTAATGCGCAACAGTAACGCGCTACAACAACGTGCTACAGTGACAATTCTACAGTGACAAAAGTCACTATAATTAACTATATCACTCAATTACATGCAGAAAGTGACCAATATTATCACAGTGACTAACATTATAATTACATTAATTACTATTATATTCGTGACAATTACACTTTTTATCACTAGTTACATTTTTATCACTAATTACATTTCTCCAGTTATGTTTATATATTGTCAGTTTGTCACACTCTTCCTTCCTGTAACCACCACGACCGCCCGCAACCAAAGCTGCCGCTCATTCCGTAGACCCTACGCCGCCCTAACCGACAACTGCCGCTACAATGACCACCGGCCACCATAGTGACACTATCACAATGACGCCGCCGCATCCGCCACCATAAAGTGACACACGATTTCCAAAGACACCGAAAGTTTTCCGGCCCCTTTTTCCAACAACACTACGACTTTCCAACTTCTCAGCCCAAGCCGTCACTACCGCCTCTGCCCGTCCTCGTCCACCGCCGCTGCACGTTCTACCGCCGCCACCCCTGCACCGTCCACATCTACCAACTCCGCCTTGTCCCAACCCGTCATTGCACACACAAAAGCTCCCCAACCCCTAGCCCTACACACAAGCTCCCCAACCCCAGCCCCACTCCCAGCACCCAAGCCGACGACCACCACCTTTGGCCATCTCCGGCAACCACCACCACCACCACCACCACCACATCCAACCCCTGCCTCACCCAACCCAATCCATTGCGTCACCCCAACCCCGCCAACCTCACTCCAACCTCTAGCCCTGCTCCTTCAGCCCTCCCAACCCCTAGCCTTGCTCCGGTAGGAGAGCAGGAGACAAACCCCCACATAAACCCTAGGATTCGCCACACCCAACCGTTTCACAACCACAACTTCTTTCCCTACTTAGTTCACGGCCGCACCCCCTTCCACCGACCAAGCACTACCTCACCACCACTCAACCATGGCCAACCCTAACCAGATGTAGCGGTGACAATCCTTGAGATCTGATAGGGATCCGACCAATCGAGAAAAAAAGGAAAAGACAATATGAGTTATAGCGACAGCGTTGCAACCCCAGCACGCAGAAGCTCCGACGAAGGTGGTGAGGCAACGGGATGGGCGGCAGCTTTGTCCATGGTGATGCAAGATGCTGCGAGAATGAGATGAGATCATCATTCATCATCATTTACCCCAATGCCGAAAAGGCTCCCACAGTCCCACCTATGGTGGGGTAAGAAGGGTCGGATGTACGCGGTCTTACTCCTGTACTAAAACACAGAAACTGGTTCCGGATGACCCATAGAGAATGAGATGAGATATGCAGGCTAAATTGTCGATGCTAATAGATTAGAGTTGATTAGGGTTGCTAGGGGGCATTTAAGTCAACTCATACACATTTTGGTCACTTTTTGTGTCCAAACGAATTTTAGTTATATTTTTGTCTTGTCAAAAGTTGGAAGTGATATTTTTGTCATTCTTTCCATTCATTATTTGGAGAAAAATCCAAGTTCCCTAAACATACCCAAATATTTTATAAAATGAAAATTATTACAATTAAAATACTACCTCTGTCCCCGAAACAACCTTCCCAATTTGACTTACACACATATTAAGGAAATAAAATCATCAGGGGTAAATTTCACTGTTTTGACACTGTTTCGACATTGTTTGACATTGTTTTGATGTACATAACTTGTCATTTAAGGAAATGGGAAGTTAAATTAGGGACATCCAAATAAGGAAAGTGGGATGTTGTTTTAGGGACGGAGGGAGTATCAAACATAAAAAGATCAAATTGATAGTCAGAACCAAAATTGAAAACAACCTACATTCTGACCTAAGATCCAAATCATTGTTCAATTGTAAAGAACAAAGGATGCTGACAGCATTCCTATGTAACAACCAACATGGATATGTACACGCCAAACTTTGAAAAAATCATGATGAAAATGAATCCAAAAGAAGTGAGATACCAAATTGAGCTTGAGGAGTTTACTAAAATGCAGAAGGCTCAACATTGGCTTTGTTCCCAGCAAGAATGAGTGAAATCTCCAAGCCACGACTGAACGCTTGGTTAAACAGTATCCGAGACTGGAACGTAGACACAAACGGGAACCATGACAGTATAGCTATAGGTGCAAATATGAGCATTCCCATTCCGGCATCAAACATTCTCGCAAACTCTTTCACTGAATCCCACATGCCCAAACTCCTCACCACTCTCTTCCATGTGATAGCCAACTGTCTCATGAAATGCAAATAAGGGTGTTAGTCGCCGTTAGATGTTCATATTACTAAGCATTATTAATAAGCATGTTGGCCTCCTCGAGTATTATAGCATTATTAATTTTAGTCCCAATCTTTCATTTTTCCCACTGTTGGTGGACAAATATGGATCTATTGTCACTTTTGGTCCTTTTGGTGGCTTATCTGGCCAATTCATATACTTGTTAATTTTTCATAAGTGATCAGACGGACCTGAAATGACAATAGAACCATAGTGCACCAAAAGTGAAAAGGTTAAAATTGAGGACTAAAAGACACTGACCCAAAAGTCGAGGACCAAAAGTGGAATATATTGTTTCTATTAATGGGCTGGGCAGGGAGCATAAATGGCATTGTCAAACGTACACAAATAAGAGCCCATCCTGTTGCAACGAAGGCAAGAACACTAGCAAACAAATCAGCAATAGAAAGGCCAGTCAATGCAACAACAAGACAAATGGCAGCAACAAGCCCCAAGGCAGTAACTCCTTGAATGAACCGAAGCATGAGCTGGAAGTTGGTGGACTTCTTGGGGCTAAATGTAAACATCTGACAAACGAAGCAAAATTCAAAACAAATTTAGGGTTTGAGACCATTTGACAGACGAATGAGAATTGACAAGTTACCTTGAAAATCATAACTATCCCAATGAGCACAATCCATGAGAATCCATAAATCTACAGAACAATTAACACATTTAGTTCCATTTCGACATTTTCACAAAACAAATGGAGTTGTGTGGTGCTGGTGCCATTGTGAAATGGTGCACGCACTATAGGTGTTCAGACACCAATTAGAATATATCAGAAATTCAGAAGGAGAAAGACTTGGATAGGAAAACAATACACAAGATATAACATCAATTGACAAAGAATCCATTCATACACCATCCACCTAGTCCATCACATGTAATGGCACTCCAAAAAACAGAGCTATGAGCAGAAAACTATGACTCCTTATCACCAAAAGAAACTGTTATGGAAAGTAAATGGCTATAACAATTCAGTCATTTTTTAGGGGTCTTCTTTCCTTAGCTCACTAAACATGGGGTTTCCAGAATTCAGTTAAGCACTAGTGCAAACTTGATCACACACTCTTCTACAATTGCTCCAACGCAAAAAACATTTCCATTGAGTGTCATGTTGATGATATTGTTACGGGAAAATTCCCGAAATAAGAGTAAAAGCGTTTTGGAATTCCAAAATAGGTCTGTCATGTTTTTATTCCCTAAATAGGACAAGTTACAAAAAACTGCCATGTTTAAAGTTTGGTAATGCCTAAATAGGAGTAATTAATCTTATTTAGGGAATAAAAACATGGCAGTCCAACTTTGGAATTTACAAACGTCTCCACTCCTATTTAGGACAATTTCTTTATTATTAACCATTGTAGCAATACTTTTGGTATTTTATCTCTCTTGTGGTTCCTTCATAGTCAATTTCAAACAAAATATCTTAGTATGGCAAAATAATTTTGGGGCATTGATGTTTCAAGAAGCAAGAAGGGAACATTACTTTCTTAAAGGATGAATATTCTAGATTTATTGTCTATGTTGAAAGCAAAAATAGCATGACAGGATAAATCCTATGATACTCAAGAGGATATTCCTAAAATATTCTAAGGGGGTGTTTGGATTTGATTCTTAAAACTGCTTCTGCTCCGTCAAGGAGCAGAAGCAGAAGTTGGAGTGTTTGGGTGAAAGTGCACAAGTGATTATGTTGCTCTGATTTACTCCTAGAATCAGTTTTTTTAGAAGTTGGGGGAGACCAGCTTATGAAAACTGATTATGATTCTTCTTCTGCTTAAAAAATAACAGAAGCAGAATCAGTTCCAAACACCCCCTAAGATATAGATTTCAGACTCCTCTAAAGTTGGTGGACATAAATTTATCATCCCCAACTTGGTACATAAATAATCAACTCGAATTTCAGTTAGTGCCTTAGTGAGTGCATCTCCAACTTGCTCTCCAGCATTCACATATCACGTACAATCAGTTAAAGTGACAATCGATCTCAATATGTTTTGTGCTCTCATGAAATATTGGGTTCAAGGATGTATGTATAGCTGCTTGTCCCATCATAGTGGACATAATTCAAGTAAACAATAGAGGATTGTTTTTTAAAACTAAACATACAACAACAACGAATCTTGATACATGACTTTGGGGTCTAAGAACATGAATAGATACATGATATCGGACATAAAAGAGAAAAAAGATAAGGTATGATAGAATAGAAAAAATTGAATTGATTTGAACACCACATGTAGGCCCTAGATATTTATTACCAGATTTATTTATCAAAGGACTCACCAAAGTGCAACTCGTAAGATCGTCCGATCTTGCGAGTAAAGTGCACTTGGACGATCTGGATCGTGCTAATGATCGGAAAACGTGGCTGAATCGTGGGATCGACGAGCTGGATCGTAAAAACGCCGGATCGGCGTTCCGTGTCGATCTGCTAGAGAGAAGTCGCAAGGCTGGGTCGAGTGCTGTTCAGCAAATATGGAAAAGCTCTGACATCGGAATTCCAAAAGTCGCAATGTCCCAAGTCTTAAAACGGAACGTAAATTACGAAGAGTCGTAGTTAATGTGAATACCCAGTTAATTTATAAGTCGGTCATTTGCAACTCTCCTGTTACTCTTCTAAGACGAGAATATTTTTTTATTTTTCACTCTGTACCCTAGATACCAGTTCTTCATATCCACAACTGAGAAATACTTCGTATTTTTTAATCTCTTAATATCCATAATAATAAGTCTTATTTTATAGCCATAAACCTATTTAAGTTATTAATTACTTAGGGTACATTAAAATAATTTTATATTTAATTAATTATAGATGCATATTTTATAAATTTTAATGGTCATGAAGTTATTTAAGTAATTTATTATTAAGAGTGAATTAAAAGAATTTTAAATATAACATAATATAGATGCATGTTTTATAAATATTACATATGTGCTTTGATTTTAAGATCTTACGATCCGAGTTACGATCCCCGAGTTACGATCTACTAATCCTCATCCGATCCGTGCTAGGATCTCGAGTTTAACAACCTTGTATTTATGTAACAAGTTGGACATGATCAATTTTTTCACTGCACAATGCAAAATAGATACTAGTACTATATTTGTACCAAGTTTACGATAGGGGATAAGTGATGGGTTAATCAACCCACACACCCCAGAGTATATATAATTTGTACAAGCACTAATAAAGAACAATTCTTCTTGGTACCATATGTAGAAATTATCAGGAGTGATGGAGAAGAGCATACCGCTAAAGAGGTGTCCTTCCCTGTCAGGTGTAGCTTATATACAATACCATACTGGAAAATGAAAAATCTGAAGCTCAAAATTGTTTCCAGTATCCGGCCTCTCAAAGTCTGAATATGCATCTGCAAAATATTTCATTCGGTTTGAGAAAAATAAAAGATATATGCTGGAATGATAGGTATCAACCCAAAAAGTAAAAAAACAGTAATATATTCAATCAAGGAATTCTGAGAAATCCTCAAATATCCTTAGGAAATTACAAAGCAACGGAAGAAACGTAATAGAAGAAGTATAGAGGCAAGTTCGAGAGTGCCTATCTCTCCCAGAGTTCCAGTTCATAATTCCGATTTCTGCCTAACTTCTTATTTCTCCCTGCCCTTCTATTTATACTACCCATACAAGTATTGTTATTATTATTAGCACCCCTGTCCCTATCAGGTCATGAGTGACCCATAACACTACAATCAATAAGATAAAGTATTCCCTAAACTAACAAGACTAATAATTTCACTACTTAACATTCCATCAGAGGGATTGTTAAAGCTTAAGAGGTAATCTAAGCATAAAAAAAAAGTACAATAAATCTGACAAAACAAGTTCTATGCGAAAAATGCATTCAGGGTAAACTTGCAATGTACTCCATCAGACAAGCTTAAGGAAAAAAAGACAATATCTCTCATGCAGTTCACACCTATATACATTACAAAGAATTACCTGTTCTTCATCCCACCAAGATTCCCAACTGTTGTCTCCCTTCACACCTACTCCCCCCTTATATAACAGCCAACTGGTCCAATCATCAAAATCCTCAACAGTCCTACCATTAGAGATACAAGTAACATTTAGATTACAAGGAAACATAATAAAAGAAAAGAGTCAAAAACTTATCGATATAAAGAGTGGGGCCTCAAAAAGTAGAACATTTACTTTTGCCATTCGAACCCAGATGGATTGAAGATATACGGAGCAAATAGCCATGATACAACAAGGAACCAACTGCTTAAAGTCAATAGAATAAATGATGTGGCCCCTCCCTTAGTGTACCCATATGCGATGTAAACTGTTAGAAGTAGGGCAACTTCCAGCCTGTGGATGTTTAAAGAACTTTTATTATAGCTAACGAAATATAAAGGGAGAAATAATAAAAAGCATTTATATTGCAATAAAAATGAACAAAACTCACGCTTTGACAAAATGACTTCGAGAGTAGAGCCTATAGTTTTCTGCAAATTTGATGTGTCTAACAACAAATCCTCTTCCAGTGGCACGGTACTAGAGATTAAGAAAATAGACATTTGACTATCATAATACACAGTTTTCAATAATCAAAATTTTCCCCAACAAAATATTTGCACACCTTTGCACCTCCATGGAGGATTGTGCGTCCAAAATAATGAGTTCTGGTCCCTAAAGAAAATGTGAAAAAGACAGAACAAAGCTGCAACTGCATTGTAATGAAGCTGAAAATAGCCTGCAATAATATACAATACAGAAGGTAAAGACAGTATTTAATCATATCCACGAAAATAGGAGTAAAACATAAGAGTTCTACAAAAATAGGAGTAGAATATTAAAATTCCCCAAATAGGAGTATTTTCTTCTAAATGGACAAGGATGCCCCCGGATTGCTGCTGCCTGCAGCTACAGTACTGCCGGCCGCCGGAGTTCACCAGACTGCCGCCGCCGCAGGCCGGCGGCGGCGGAGCTCCGGCGTGGTAAAAAAGATTCCAGATTTCTAGTGGAACGTGGGACCTAGTCCCCCCTTCCCACTGGAAAATCTGTGGTGGGATGTCGGTGGATTTACACAGTTAAAATTGAGCATGATGGGGAGATTGATCGTTTTAAAGCACGCCTTGTGGCGAAAGGGTATACTCAGATATATGGTTTGGATTACACTGACACTTTTTCTCCTGTAGCGAAGATTGCATCAGTTCGTTTGGTTTTATCCATGGCAGCAATGAGCCGCTGGCCATTGTTCCAATTGGATATTAAAAATGCATTCCTTCACGGAGATCTGCACGAGGAAGTTTATATGGAGCAACCACCTGGATTTGTTGCTCAGGGGGAGTCTGGTATGGTGTGCAGATTACGTCGTTCATTATATGGCTTGAAGCCATCTCCACGTGCATGGTTTGGGAGGTTTAGTGCCGTTGTGTGCAGCTTTGGCATGATTCGCAGTGATGTCGATCATTCTATATTCTACAGACATTCTGCTCGCAACAAATGTATTTATCTTGTTGTGTATGTTGATGACATTGTCATTACAGGTAGCGATGATCAAGGAATTGCGCTCCTCAAACAACATCTCTTTAGCAAATTTCAAACAAAAGACTTGGGAAAGTTGAGATACTTCCTTGGCATTGAGGTTGCACAGTCTCAAAATGGAATTGCTCTCTCACAAAGAAAGTATGCCTTGGATATTCTTGAGGAAACAGGTTTGCTAGATTGCAGGCCAGTGGATACACCCATGGATCCGAACGTTAAACTCTTATCAGAACAGGGAGATCTTTTGCCCAACAAGGAAAAATATAGAAGACTTGTTGGCAAATTGAATTATCTTACCATCACAAGACCAGATATTTCATTTGCGGTAAGTGTTCTTAGTCAATTTCTTGATAAGCCATGTACTAGACATTGGGATGCAGCTATCCGAGTTTTGAGATACATCAAGAAAACTCCAGGGCAAGGATTGTTGTTTGAAGATCGAGGCCACCATGATATTGTGGGATACTGTGATGCAGACTGGGCCGGATGTCCGATGGATAGACGTTCCACTTCGGGATATTGCATCTTGATTGGTGGAAACTTAATTTCATGAAAAAGTAAGAAACAGGATGTGGTTGCCAGATCTAGTGCTGAAGCAGAATATCGTGCAATGGCCCTTGCTACATGTGAAATCTTATGGTTGAAGCATCTCCTCCAAGAGTTAAAATATGGAAACCCTTAACCGGTTCAACTCATGTGTGATAATCAAGCCGCAATGCACATTGCATCAAATCCGGTATATCATGAGAGGACAAAACATATTGAAGTTGATTGTCATTTTATCCGAGAGAAGATCTCAAGTGGACATATCATCACAAAATATGTGAACACAACTGAACAACTTGCAGATATTCTAACTAAGTCTCTTAGAGGTCCTAGAGTGGGATATATTTGTAACAAGCTTGGTACATATGATTTATATGCTCCAGCTTGAGGGGGAGTGTGGAAACCCTAGTAGTATTGGGCTTAGCCCATTTGTATATCTTGTATAGGAAACCCTAGTACTCTAAATATAGCTATAAATATAGCTTCTTGTATAGCATTTTGATATCAAGTATATGAAATAAAACAATACTTGTTCACACCCCCGATCTTCCTGCCACCGTAGCAGTTGCTGGAGCTCCGCCGCTGTCTGCCCCAGCCACCAATGCCCTGCCCCGCCACCTACGCCCTGCCCTAGTTGCCCAAGGGAACTAGGGGGGGCAATTAATTAATTGGAATAGGGGTATTTGGGGTACAAAGTTAATGTTTACTACTTTACTCCTATTTGCGGAAGATTAGAAGTTAACTCCTATTTTGGGAAAAATGGTATGTTAAAGTCCTATTAATGACAATTTCTTAACTTCTATTTCGAAAAGTCAAGCCATTACAAGATAAAAAAATTACAAACGAATCATACCTTTAGCAAACCTTTTTCGAGTATAAATCCCATGATCATTGGAACTGCAGTGAATATTCCTATCTGAACAAAAAATTGGGCATTTAGTGCAGCATCCAATGCTGTATTACCGAGTAACCTAGCTCGACGAGAAATTCCTTCATCCAATCCAGAAAAAGCCTGTTCGAATATTAGAACACAACACAAAATATGACTTCGACATAGATAATGACATAGTAAATAAATAATTGAGGGAAGTTGATATTAGGAAGACAAAGTTTTCTTAAGGTAAATGAGAAACATAAATAAAAACCAATGATGATATTGATCACAACCAGTTTTTTAAATTGAAAAATAAATAAATAAATTTAATTGAAGAACTTCCTTCCTGTTAAAAATAGAATTATTCTTAAGAACAACAATTGGTTGTTCTATAACACCAATGCGAAGTTGATGGTTAAAAAAGTGCCACTAAGCAAAATTCCATTCTATCAAAAGTGATTGTTTTTTAGAGAAGACATGCTTGTTTTATGGTAGTCACTAGTCAGCAATATAACATCCTTGCTTTAAGGTAGCCAACCATAAAACATGCTTGTTCAAGAAAACCACATGTTTGTCTTACCCGGATAACCCCATTGTAAAACTCTTTGTTTTACTTTTCCCTAAATATAGATAAATTTAGGGAACTAAAGCCACTTAAAGAGAGATGGTAAGTTGTATAATTAAAAATAACATATAAGTGAGTTTACCAGGTATACTCTCCCATATAAGAAAATATAAACTGTAAGAACCGTCATCTGCATGCAGCATAGCACAGAGTGAGATGATGAACTTGAAGAGAAGCTCCCATAACAGCACAAAACTTCATACTAGGGAAACAAAAATTACCATAGTGCAAACATAGTATCCAATAGTGGTGTAAAAGAAGGAAAGCATCCTAAAGAAATCAAAAAGCTGCCCAAGCCTGTAAACATCCCTGCTCAGAACTTGCTCACCATTACCCCCAGCAACTTTGCCTTCAAATAATGCGATCTGATTTAATCCAACGTCCCTTCCCTTACCAACCTATAGCCACAAAAATCACTACCAAAAACAATGAGATAACAAATTCACCCACGACAAGTTGACAATTAAAAGTATAATGCTGATGAACCTCAACAGTAACTACTGAATATGAATAATCAACCTGAATATATTCATGATGAGTAATGTTGCCTTGCCGCAATGTGGAATTAAACCCTGCAGCATGTCAATAGCTTATGAAGTAATGACCGAAACAATACTACAACAAATGGATGGGCTTAAATTCCCATGCCCAGGCCCAATACCAGATTTCAGAATTACTATAACATGCTCAATGCTCAGAACAGAAACCTTAACAAGAACTATAATGGAATCAGCGGCCCAATAATTTCTACAATCCAAACCAATGTTGAAATAATAATCCCTGAGGTACCAATAATAATATGTCAGGTCGAAACTATTTCAGGGCTAATAATAATTCAAGAATTACACTTAAATGTTAGATTTGTGGCAAACCGAGTCATCTCAGTCTCAATTATTCACAACAGTTTGAACAACAAATATACCCCCAAGCCAATACCAACTTGACAAACAGAAATGGATGGTTGCTTGACTCTGAAGTGATGAATCGTGTCATCAACAATCTAAATAACCTCACCCTTGGCATCAGATTTTGCTTCCAGAGACTCTCATCCTTGGTAAAGATTTTGCGATAGCACAAGTTGGAAATATGACTCTTCATTCTCTTTCCTTACCTAGTACTCTTTTGGTTCGTCAAATTCATACTAATTTAATTTTTGTTGCAAAATTAAGTTGTGATAATGACTTGCTAATTGAGTTTCACCCCTCTTTTTATCTTGTTAAGGACTGGCTAACGGGGAACAATTTGTTAAGGGGTATGAATAATGGTGACATCTATAGTCTGTCAGATCTGCTGGTTCTTTCTTCTTCATGTGCTCACAACAACAACAACAACATCCAAGCCTTAGTCCCAAAAGATATTGGGGTCGGCTAACATGAATCGATACATGATATCACCATCAAAAGGAAAAGAAAGAAAATAAAGATAAAAAAGATAAGCTATTATAAAAAAAATAATATAAAAAGAGATGAATATACCTAAAAATGATAAAATAAAATGGATAAAAATAATGTTTATATATATAAGGATAAAAGAAAAAAAAAGATGAGGGGAAAATATAATAATATGAGATCACTCCTTCACACGAATACCCGCCCTCCACTTTGCTCTCTCCAAAGCCATACCCCCCTCATGCAACCCAAGAAGAAGCATATCACTTCGGACTCCCCTAACCCACGTCTGTTTGGGTATTCCTCTCTCTCTCTCTTCCCTGCCTCTTCTCCACACATCTCAACACGCCTGACAGGTGCATCACTCGGTCTTCTACGCACATGACCAAACCACCGTAGGCGCGACTCCCGCATCTTGTCTTCAATAGGTGCTACTCCCACCCTTTGTCTGATTGTTTCATTTCTTACGTGGTCCTTCCTAGTATGCCCACACATCCAACGCAGCATGCGCATCTCTGCCTGCCACACTCATCTTTTGAACGTGACATTGTTTCACCGCCCAACACTCTACGCCATAAAGCAATGCAGGCCTAATTGCCGTCCTATAAAATTTACCCTTCAATCTAGTCGGCATACCTCTATCACATAGAAATCCTGACGCACTCTTCCACTTCATCCACTCTGTTCTGATTCTATGCGATACATCTACATCTAACTCACCGTCCTTCTGAACTATGGAGCCCAAGTAACGGAACATATCACTGACCGGTATCTCCTTACCATCTAGAGTAATTCCACTATTACCACTGCTTCTACCTCCACTAAACTTGCACTCCATGTACTCTGTCTTGCTCTGACTAAGTCTGAAACCCTTGTTCTCCAATGTTTGTCGTCATACTTCCAACTTTGCTTTAAGACCTGACTGCATCTCATCAATCAATACAATATCGTCGACAAACATCATGCACCACAGTATTTCATCTTGAATTGACTTCGTAAGTTCATCCATGACTATGGCAAATAAGAAAGGGCTCAGAGCCGATCCTTGGTGCTCACGTCACTGCAAAATTTTCCCATAATAAGTGGCATTGCCGTTTAGGTCACCTTGCTCTTCCCATAACTCAAAAACAAATCTTCATCAGTTATTTCATTTAAAAATGTTATTAAAGATATTCATTTCCCTATGCACTTCATGTGCAACTAATAAAAGTCATAAGTTACACTTTGCTAAGTCTTCTTTTTCCAGTTCTGATCCTTCAACTTAATTTTAAATAGATGTTTGGGGTCCTTCTCACATTGTTTACTCTAATGGGGGAGGTGAATATGTCACCCTATGGGAATTTCTTAGTTCGTGTGGTATTTCTCATTTATTGACCCCTCCATACACTCAAACATAATGGATTTTTTGAACAATGACATCGTCACATTGTAGAAACATGGATTGCTTTACTTCACCATGCCTTCGTGCCACTTATATATTGATCTTATGCCATTCTAACCACAGTGTACCTCATTAATAGACAACCTGTAGTATCTCTCCATTTATGTAGTCCCTACGAAAAACTATTTCAACAACCTCCCCATTACACAAAACTTACAAGTTTTGGGTGTCAATGCCTTCCGTGATCGCGTCCTTACACAAACCATAATTTAGAACCCCAATCCAAACCATTTGTTTTTCAGGGATATTGCGATGAGCAGAATGCTTATTGATGTCTTGATCTAACTACCCATTGTACATTTTAGCAGATGGTGTTCAATGAGTCTGTCTTCCCCTTCTCTCATACCTCTACACCTGTTACTAAGCACTCCTATTTCTTATCTTCCCTTTTTTCCCCAAATTTATTTTTTCCCTATTTCTTATCCCCCTATTTAAGGTGCAACAATGGAGGGAGCGTCTACCATTACTCATACCCTGGCTAAAAAACTCACGTTATGTCAATGTCTACTCCTAATCCATGGTCTCTTACATCTCTACTTCCTAACAATCCACCCATAACCAATCCAGTTGTTCTCATCACATTAACATTAGCCTACACAAAAACCACTTGCCCCACCATCTCCTCAACCATCACCTGATGAACCAATCACCATCACCCAAACCACCACTACAAATGCTTCCACACCATCCTCAGATTAACATCCGGATCCCCACCATTTTCCTCCCAAATGTACTCATTCCATGACCTTTCTCCCTCAACCAACATTACCTCATCATATTATTTCTACTTGTGTTTCTCAAGCTTTACATGTACCCGAATGTAATGATGTTATGTCTTCAGAATCTGATGCCCTGATTAAACATGGAACTTAGGAACTTGTCCCAGCTTGTCCCGGTCAAAAATCAAAATATTATTGGTTGCAAATGGATCTATACCATGAAATACGACCTGCATGGCCCCTTGGATTGTTCCAAATCTTGATTGGTTACGAAAGACCTTCATCAGCGGCCAAGAATTGATTATTCTGACACCTTTAGCCTAGTAATCAAACTGGTCACTATTCGAGTTGTCTTAAGCCTTGCCCTTTCTCATGGTTGGCAGATTAATCAACTCGATGTCAACAATGCCTTTTTGCATGAGACTCTTTTCTGAGTCTGTATGTCGTCATAGCAAATCAATCTATGGTCTCACACAACCTACATTATATTTAATCAATGAATCAATCCATTTCTGATGCCAGTCTCTTCATATCCTCTTCAATTATTGCGCACCTATTTTAATTCGTCTGACTTACATTATTTTTAGGCATGCACGTCACTACTACAAAGAATGGACTCTTTCTAGATCAACAAAAGTACATTACAGAGTTATTACAGGTGTTGATAATGGATGTACGTCATTGAAACCCTGTCCACCGCCCACGATGTCACTGAAATCCTAGCCGCCCATGACATCACTGAAACCCTGGCCGCCACCCACGACATCGCTGAAACTATAGTGGAGAGGTAGAGGGGGGAGGCACTATGGTGGAAGGTTGTGAAGAAAGATCAGAGATGGTGGAAGGAAGAGAAAGACATGAACAGAGATGGGCGGGTTTTGGAGCAAGAAGGTAATTAAAAAGCGGATGAGAGAAAACATGAGAAAGATAAAGGCATTACTAATAAAGTGGATGAGATTTGATTGTGACGTACTCGGAGGATGTTAATGTTGATGAGGAAGACGGCAGTGAATGAGGCAGATGTGGGTGAATGCGCAGAAGGAGATGGGAAGGAGAATTAATATTAAATAGAGTTGTATTAAATGATGTTAATTAAATTAGTCACTTTTATGGAAAATGAAAAGGCCATATTTATGTGTAAAGAAACTCTAGAGGTAATATGTATGACATTATTTCTATATTAAAAGGTAAGTAAGTAGGTAGGTAAGTAGGTCATCATCATCATTACCCAGTGCCGCAAAGGCTCTCACCTATGGTGGGGTGAGAGGGGGTCGGATATATGCAATCTTACCCATGTACTAAAGCACAAACAAACTATTTCCGGATGACCCATAGTGAAAATAGCATCGAAAATTGCATGGATTGAATGATGTTTCATAATAGAGAAGCGTAGACAATTTAGGTAAGTAAGTATGTAGGCAAGTAAAAAACAAATAAAAAATTAAGAATAAAAACTCAACCCTGTGTTTTTATTTATTCAGAAAAATTAAAAGAATACCTCCTATCCTATACATATAAAATATGGAATACCAAGGTTAATTCCAGTAATACCCAGGCTACTTACCAGCAAAAATATCTTCGCTGATGTTTATGACACGTGATGCTTTACTTATGCCACCTCGAGTAATATGAAAAATTCGGTCAAAAACATCAGGATGTCCATAGTGCATTCTAACTCTGCAACAAAACAATTTTCAAAATCAGAGTACTCTTCTCAAAAGTCTCATAATATCCATTAGAACACGATTTCCTGAGGAGAAAAAAATCCACTGGACGCAAAAAGGGTAACAGATATAGCAGTAAAGTTAACCAAAGGTGAAACAAACTCTGACTCCTTTTACATTATCGTGTCTCTTCTATAGTGTTTAGTTTTTGACAAAGTAATTGGCAACAAAATGAAAAAGAAAAATGTACAATCATTGTTTCTAATTTTATTTAGATGAAAATTCAATAAAACAAACAACAACAACAACATCCAAGCCTTCGTCCCAAACGGTATTGGGGTCGGCTAACCTGAATCGATACATGATATCACCACCAAAAGGAAAAGAAAGAAAATAAAGATAAAAAAGATAAGCTATTATAAAAAAGATAATATAAAAAGAGATGAAAAATTCAATAATATTTCAAAATTATTAGAGGCTGGAGCCCCACACTAAGTATCACAGGATTCAATGCTTGTGCTCCCAAAATAAATTTCACATTAGGTCTTTAAGTTTTACATATAGGCATATAACCGGGGTGTTTGAGAGTGAGAGACTATGAGTGTGTGTGAGTGTGTGTGTTGACTGTTGGGACAGCACGTCTAGTCCACCGGACTTAAGTATGAACAAAATTGAGATTCTGAGACAATACATAACAGGATTGATAAATTACAAAATTAACATGATACAACAACAACATCGAAGCCTTAATCCCAAAAGATTTTGGGGTCGGTTAACATGAATCAATCCATGATATCAGAGCCAAAAGAGAAGAAAGAAGAATAAAAGAAGTAAGATAAATGGGATAAGATAAAGAAAAATATAAGATAACAATAACATAAGAACATAAGAAAGATGTAAGATAAAAGATAAAAGAGCATAAGAAAGATAAAAGATAAAAGAGCATAAGAAAGATAAAAGATAAAAATATCATAAGAATATCGAAAGATAAAGAAGAGAAATGATAAAAGAAAAAGGAGGGAAAAAAGATAGAAAAGAGATCAATCGTCCACACGAATGTGCACCCTCCACTTTGCTCTCTCCAAAGTCATACTATCATCCAACCCAAGAAGACACATACAAAAATTAACATGATGCTTTAGAGAAATTAAATTTCATGCAGATGGTGCTTAATTCACTCAGAAAAACACTATCACATGCTAACAAAATTCATATATCTATGAAACATTCGTAGGGATTACTAGATTTAAAAGAACTTACTTGAGAGGCTTAGCAAGAACTCGTTGCCCCAATGTCACAAAGCTGGTCTCTTGGTTGGACATGAACCATGCTAATGATGACACACTGCATGGACAATTGGGGGTAAAAATCGTGTCACAAAACTTACAATAAAGAGCACACAAATTCTCAAAATAATCTTAGAAAGCACAAGACAAACCTTCCCGTGAATACATGCTCCCTTACACCAAGTATGGTGGGTGGCCGGAGTCCATGGTTTCCATGGAATTCCTGAAGAAGATTCCTCATCTTCATTGCCTCCTCAAGGTAGTTATCCTGTTTGGAACAGTGGGGGGGATTATGAGAGGGAAAAAAAGATAGAGTAGCATAAAACCTCGCAATCCAGTAGGAGCACAACACGATACCTTAATAAACTCAACTCCTACAACTAAACCTAGTAGAGATGGGCAAAAGAACAATATTGAGTACTCTAATTGGCCTACTATACTAGTAAAGCAGTTCTATAGTCTACTTTCCTACTTTTCAGTCTGAATAGTTCTGTCACGTAATGAGGCACAAGCTTGTAGGAAAGCATGCAACAAAGAGATCTCTGGTACACCCCTCAAAATGTCTTGAATAAAGAGGTGATGCAAGGATATGTTGTAAAAAAACCTCATCAATGGAAAAGAAGATGCTATACTACTTCTGAGAGTGACCTAAAAAATAGTGCAAATACATTCTGATGTTCCTTTGACCACCTTTTGACAATCGCATTAGTAGGGTATGTTGGTGAAAAACTAAGTATTTACGAATTATGACAATAATTGAAAGTAGCCTCTCTACTACTCCTACGGGTGGAGGTAAAAGATCTGCATACATCTCACCTTTCCCAGACCCTTCTTCTGAGTGGCACTTTGTGCATTCATCTGGTTTGGTTTACCAAATACGATTGAGTACCTTTGCATTTGTAATGACTAACTGCCTAACTCACTCCTCTAAAGCCTCCGAACAGAACTTGGAAATCCCATTAACAAAAAAGATTAGGCGAAACAACCCATAAAGAAGGATTTTTCTATTCAGCACTAGCATTGAATACTTCATTAAATAATTTGATTTTATGCAATTGATATGAAGCAGAATCTGGGCTTGGAAGAAGAGGGGCAAAAGCCTCCGTGGGTTTACTGAAGGTGGGGACGGGCTTGAGCCCACCTTCGTGGGCTGGTTGCGGGCTGTTTAGTTAATATTTATTCTATTTAATTTTCCTGATTCGTTTCCTATTTGGAGTTAATTAGGATTTCTAATATTTGTTTCCTATTAGGAGTTAATTAGGATTTCTATTATTTGTTTCCTATTTGAAGTTGATTAGGATCTTTATTATTTTGTTTCCTAGTTGGAGTTGATTGGAATTTCTTGGATTTTGTTTCCTAGTTTGAGAATAAGTAGATGGGTATTTAAACCCCTTGTTATGATTCATTTTGGCTCATCTTGGAATAAAATTGGTTTTAGCCTTTTGGCTCTGGGCAATGGTATTTTTATCATTGATTATCTGGGCAACGGTTTACCCCGTTGATTTTATTTTTTTCAGTTCCTATCAATTGGTCCGACCTGCCGGATCCCGTCCCGCCAGGATGATGAGATCTCAGATTAACTGCTTGATAGAGGTGGTGGCCAAGCAAATTCCGAGGAATCAAACCCTAGGTGGTGGCAACGCTTACCAAGGCGTTCGTTCCGCCAGTCACGACGAAAACAAGCCTTGACGCGGTTGGCAGCCCCACCGTATTTGCGCCCTGCAACGACGGACAGCCGCGCAGCGTCACTTCCTCCTTGACTGCGCTCACAAAGGCTCTCGCACCGCCAGCGGCGAAGGAGCATTCAATGGCGGTGGCTTCACTTGACGCCACAACAACATCCTCGTTCGGAATTGGACTGTGCAACACCTTTCTCACGATGTTGCCCTCGTTTAACGGAGAAGAACCGATCAGCTGGGTTGATAGGGTTGAGCAACAGTTCGAATTGAATGTACTCCGCGAGGAAAGAAGATGGCAGCCATTGTAGTTGTGAGGGAAGGGTCAGCCCTATATTGCTTGACCTGGTTACTGGCACAAAAGACGGGCATGTCATGGGATGAGCTTACACAGGCATTGGTGCCTCGTTTTGACTCACGGTTTAAGGGCAATTGCTTTGAACGGCTGCCCGGAGGCAAGCAGACAGGGACTGTGGAGGAGTACATCTCAATTTTTCCTGAAGATACTGGACAGCCCCCGGGGACAAATGTCAGCCGGTTTCCGGAATTCAACCTAGAGGAAAAGGTTTTTTCGAAGGGGGATGGAATTGATATGAAGCAGAATCTGGGCTTGGAAGAAGAGGGGCAAAAGCCTCCGTGGGATTACTGAAGGCGGTAACGGGCTTGAGCCCACCTTCATGGGCTGGTTGCGGGCTGTTTAATTAATATTTATTCTATTTAATTTTCCTGATTTGTTTCCTATTTAGAGTTAATTAGGATTTCTAATATTTGTTTCCTATTAGGAGTTAATTAGGATTTCTATTATTTGTTTCCTATTTGAAGTTGATTAGGATCTTTATTATTCTGTTTCCTAGTTGGAGTTGATTGGGATTTATAGGATTTTGTTTCCTAGTTTGAGAATAAGTAGATGGGTATTTAAACCCCTTGTTATGATTCATTCTGGCTCATCTTGGAATAAAATTGGTTTTAGCCTTTTGGCTTTGGGCAACGGTATTTTTATCGTTGATTATCTGGGCAACGGTTTACCCCGTTGATTTTATTTTTCTGTTCACAACAGCAATCCATATGAACCGATATTAACAAAAAAGTAAATCCCTTATGATATAGCAGATCCAACTCGCTAATTGCTAGAGTAAATAAATCTGTGCTTTGTGGTAATTTTTCTTCTAAATCCCAACGTGTTCCTTGGCTACTTAACTTACTTTCAAGGAATTAGTAAATATTGGACTTTCAAACCTAGCGTTCTTCTAATTTTCTATTTTGAGATCTAAATAAATACATTAAATTAAAACATTGCATATTAAATATGCATCTATTTTAAGAGATTAAGGGCCTGTTTACTAACAGAGATATTTTCCTGTTTTCTACTTCTGTTTTTCGTTCTCCAATTTTCTGTTTTTATTTTTCAGTTTTTCTATCTCCAATTTTCTGTTTCTATTTCTTAGTTTTCCATTTTCAAATTTGAAAACATGTTCATCAATTTTTTCACACAATTCTCCAATTACACACCCTTGACCCCTACCTCTACCCTTACCACGATCTTACACTCTACCCATACTCCACCACAACCCTTCATACCCACCCATACCTACTCGTAGGGGTCAGGGTAGGGAAGTTATGGGTGGGGTGGGGTAAGGGGTATGGTCGGGGTGGGGTGGTAAGGTCTAGGGGTAGGGGGTTGGGTGGGGGTAGTGGGTGGGTTAGGGTCGTGGTTAGGGTTAAGGGTGGGGTAGTGGGTAGGGTTGGGGTAAGGTAAGGGTAGGGTAGGGAGTTGGGATAGGATGGCGGTAGGGTGGGGTCAGGACCAGGGTGGGACCGGGGTAGGGTAGGGTGGTGGTAGGATGGCGGTACGAGGGTGGGGGTAGGATGGCGGTGGGGTGGGGCCGAGGTAGGAGGCATGTGGTAAGGGGTAAGGTAGGGGTAAGTGGTAATATACGGGGGTGGGGGTAGGGTGGGTCGGGGTGGGTTGAGGTGGTAGGGGGGTGGCGGTAGGGTAGGGTGGATCGAGGTGGGGTCGAGGTGGTAGGAGGTGGCAGTAGGGTATGGTGGATCGTGGTGGGGCCGAGGTCGGGGCATGTGGTGGGGGGTGGAGTAAGGTCATTATAGGGAAAAATGGGTACGCGGGGTGGGGGTTGGGTGGGTAGGGTAGGGGTAAGGGGTAAGGTACGAGGATGGAGGTACCGGAATGGAATCGACATCGGAGCGGGACCGGACCCACCACTAGGTGTAAGTATGCAAATTCATTGCAAAGGCACTGTAGTATCTGCGTTTTCCAAATTTGGAAAACTAGTAAAAGTCACTTCTCCAAATCATTAAGAAAAAGAGAAACATGTTTCATTTTTTTCGTTTTGGAAAACGATTTGGTAAACACGTTTTTCTTTTCTCCTTTCTTCAGTTTTCCAGGAATTTCTTTGGTAAACACGTTTCCTGTTTTCTGTTTTCCAGTTTTCCAGTTTTCTGGAAAACTGGAAAATATTTCTGTTAGTAAACAGGCCCTAAGTATTTCTAAAGAACCTATGACTATTCGACACTTCAAAAATTCAGTAGCTATTTGATGAGAACAGAAAAAATAAAAAACAACGGGGTAAACCGTTGCCAAGATAATCAACGATAAAAGTACCGTTGCCCAAAGCCAAAAGGCTAAACTCCAATTTTATTCCAAGATAAGCAAGAATGAACCCTGGCAAGGGGTATAAATAGCCTTCTAAGAGAAACCCTAATCGAGCACAAATTAATTAAGCCCATGCTAACTCTACTAAATACTCTACTAATAATAGGCCCAAACTAGAAAACATAACATAAAGTTTATAATAATAAATAAAACTATAACCCTAGCCCACAACCAGCCCACAGAGGTGGTCCCAAGCCCGTTCCCGCCCCCTGATTTCTCTGCTCTCTATCACTATTTGATGTGTAGATATATTTAACAATGGCATACGGATCTCTTTATTTCAACTGAATTCATGGTCATTCCGTAGAACTAAACAGCTTAAGCTAAAAGACATGTTTTTATAGATAATGAGATCATTGTTTCAAATTGCGCAATGCAATAGAGCAATGAGGCTCGCCTCGGGGAAATCCTACAGAGAGGCGCAGATCTGCATGGCTAAAGGCGTTGGGGAAGAAACGTACATTATGTTTCCCAGAGGGGTATGCCTTTGGCGATGCGCAACAAGACGCATGAGCGCATCAGGTATACGCCTCATTGTGCAAAGAGGCTTACACAATAGGCAATAATAAAAACACGCCACGACTACACAATACACAATTTAAAACCTTGAATGAGATATTGAGATTACTCCTTCCGTCCCGCTAAGATTGTCCCAGACACTATTCCCTTGGTCAACACAAATCACTCTTAATCTCTTACTTTATATATCAAATCTTTTTCAAATCCGATTCTGGTTTTTGCGACTTTGTAAAGTTTTTAATGTAGTCTCTGAATATATAATTTTTTTTCTAAAAATAATTTGAGTGCAGACAGGGATCTGTTTGGCTTTATCGTCGGTCAATCATCGTAAACCGAATTGTCCCAAACATAGTGAGACGGAGGTAATACTAAGGAAAGTATGAGGGTATGTATGTATGTGTGTGTGTGTGTGTATATATATATATATATCAATGTTTTAAATAGCGGTCCGCTACCGCTATAGCGGCCGCTATATAGCGGTCGCGGTAGGTACCGCTACCGCTACGGGCTGCTATCAGGGTGTGATTTTCAAATCACAGAAAAATTCCGCTACGCCACCCGCTACAGCCCGCTACCGGCATTTCCGGCAATACATCACGAACTGGTTATGTGTAAATGTGTAAATGTTGTGTGCATGATGTGAAAAAATACATTAATGGTGATGCATGGAGTAAAACTCTAAATTAAATATTAATAAATATCTAAATTTTAATTATTAAAACCGAATTAATTATTAATAAGGATGATTTAACTTTAATATCAGTTGACGAAAAAAATGTTGACTTAACAAAACAATTTGGAACGGAAGCGGTATTATTATAGATTATGCAAGTTGCAATGCATGGTCCACTTCTTAAAATTTGATTGTGAAAGGAAAACAATTTTTCATATAAGTAATATATTTTCGGGATGGAGGAATATATCTTTTTATTGAACATTATTTATAATATACAAATGAAATAATAATGTTCTTTGTTAAAAGTAGTTTCATAAAGTATAAAACTTATAACTTTTATAATGTTATATTAATAAAATGCATGATCCAAATTTATAACACCCGTTAAATATATGTTTTGCGCATTTGAAAATATTTCACGCCGCTGCAACCGCTACCGGCGGCTACAGGTTGCTACCTAGATGACCGCTGCCGCTACGGCTATTTAAAACACTGATATATATATATACCCCCTTTTATCATATCATTTTTATGTATATCTTATCTCTATTTTATATTACCCTTCTTATCTTTCATTTTCTTTTGGCTCCGATATCATGTATCATTTCATGTTAGCTGACCCCAAAATCTTTTGGGACTAAGGCTTGGATGGTGTTGTTGTTGCTGTTGTTGTTATATTAAGGAAAGTGTGATATAAGGACATTATATAGAATTCATATTGTGTATTGTGATTCTATCACTCATACGACAAACACTAAAAGTAACCATTTTTTCAAACTACTAATCAGTAATCACCTGATTCATGTCAATTGTTTGAATAGCCTCCCCGCGGGTGAAAATTATTGCATGGTTTTGATTTTCTGGCTTTCCTTCCCCCAGTTTTGGATCTCCGGGAAGTTTAACTGAATATATTTCCTATAGAAAATGTAATGAAAGTTAAATTCAGAAAAATGGCAACTGCTGTAACTAATGCATCAAACAAAAAACCAAGTAATTGTGTTTCAAATCAAGTGACTCTAGGAGAAAGTTTTAAGTATTATCCATTCACAAACATGGATGTCCCCATTTGATGCCTATCAGATGGGACGCCTGACATGTATTTTTATTGAGGGATAGTAATAACATAGCAGAACGAAGAAACTTGAGATGTAGAGATATATTGAATCTAGCCTACAACTATATTTAAGGTTCTGTGCTAACCTAAAGTGAACACTTCGTATTTCTAAGCACTATCTTTTATAAGTGTACCACATTCAGTTCCATATACATGAAACGCGTTCATATCAAAAAGAATGAAAATTGGAGGACTTGCTAATAAAAGTGGAACTGCTATTATTGTTAAGGGACAAAATATTTAATGCCAATTAATTGCATATACATGAAATTAACTTCTTATTGATTTGGTCAAACGGATATATACTATACATCAATTGTTTCCAAGGAAGATGCAGCATTGAAGATATTGTTCTTCAAAAGAAAGAACTGTAGCAGATGTTTGCTTTAAAATTATCAAAATATGAAACCACATGGTTACACTGTATTATTGTAAGAAACATCATTTATACACTCAAAATACATATTCAAGTGGAGTAATACATAATATGATGGTTAGAATGTTAGAGTAACTGCACACCTGATCTTTTCCATGTGCATCAGCCTTTACAAGTTTTGAGTAGAACTCCTTTGAAACCTTTCCATTGGCTTGAGTATTTTCTTCCACATGTATGAACGCAACACGGAGTGCTTCATTCCTTAAAATAAGCAAATTTCAAACAATATAAGTACTTGAAATTTGCAATTGTACCAAGTGTATAGCAGAGGGTCTAGAAGCTTTTTCAACAAATTCTATATTTCAAATTTTTCTTTAAAATCTGTGTTTCCTTCTGCATCATTGGTTCAGGAACAGGTCAATATTTTCCATAGGTCAAAATGAAATATCCAAATATGAAACGAACTATCAGCCCTTTTCAAAGACCAATGGTGCAAAACCAACTGTTGAAACTTTTCAGGAGTACTTTATAAAACAGTAATAGTTTGATAAGATAACCATAACAAACTAGTAAAAACAGCCATATCTTCAATAAGTTTAAATCATCTAATTTAGTTCAGTTTCATTCTAGTTTATCTGGACTATTTTAAAAAGATTATGATTTTCTGATCAAGGAGTAAACTATAATGTGCAATGCAAAAACTGAACATAAACTACACACAATTACGATTAAAAGACAAGTAAAAGATTATTTAAACATAAATTTCTCATTGGAAAACCTTTGTAGCAACAAAGAGATATCTGCTGCCTCTGGAGCCTTTTTTTGCTTCTGCTGCCCATAAATCTGACATGAAACCACATATGTGAACTTCAAATCAGCTTGTGCTCTTGCTTCACGTGACAGTTCAAAACTTGGTGTTGTGGGAAAGTTTGTTTGAGAAAGCGTCCCTTCTGTTTCAGGAAGAATATATGGCCTTCATGATTAGCAAGGTTAACCAACGTATTAAAGAGAACATAATACCAAAAGAAAAAACACATAAAGAACCTCCTCCTAGTGATCTCCTTTCCAAAAAACTCTGCAGCATCAACGCCCTTCTATAATACATCATACCACGTACTGTGAATGAAACCAGAGAGCAAAAAAGTTTATAATCGTGGTTAAATATAATATTCAACCCAGAGATTAAAAAGTATGTCAATATGTGCAAGGGAGAGTAACCTGTCCTCGCAAGAGTCTGACCCCTATAAGATGCCCATAACCGAAGCTCCAGAGTATCACTGGAGCTTTCTTGGAAAGCATCACTGTCATCACCATCACCTCGACCAATCCGATCCAAAAAATTCACCCATTCATCTAAAGTGTATATAGAACATAGGTGTTTTTAGAGATACACCCAACAAAAGTAATATTCAATCACAAGAATACAAGATACTATCAAACTGATACAAAACATTTGCTGTAATAGTGGAGACTGGAGACAAAACACACGGCATGCACATGTTGAAAAAACTACTCCCTCCACGCTACAAAGAAGCAATTGGGTTTGCACGCATTTTAAGAAACTGAAGGTGATCTCGGTACGTTATCAAATACACCTTTTATAGAAGGAAGAAAAGAGAATTTCGACCTTCCTAATTGAAGATTGAAACAATAGATGAAAGGCTAAAAGAGATGAAAGGCTAAAAGAGATGAAAGTCTGTGGCATCCAAATTAAAAAAGTGAACATTGTTTTGGGATGGACTGATGGACTACAAAAAGAAAGTTGAACCTACACAATGGAACACAGGGATTACAAATTTATGATGTCACTTTTGAGTTTTGACTTACAACTACATTATTTTCTAAAGACTATTACAATGCTTATATTGAGAAATAATGGGCATAAATCTAATAGCAATAGAACACCTATACACAAAATTTAATTCAAATAAGAAGCAATAATACATTAAAACTATGAATTACATTTCTATATTTACTACTCTCATATACTTCAAGCTTATACAAACTTTAAACTTGAAACGTGTTTATAAAAATTGGAAACCTGATAAACTTGAGCTTGACTGGTGCCAACTAGTGAGCTGAACAAACTTTAATTTTACTTCAAATCACTTATGTACTCTATTTTCACTCTTAGCTTTAACTTTGATTTGAAAACTTGACTACATCCTTTTCTTCTACCTACATATCTTCTTTGTCTTTTTCTTAGATTTTACTTTATTTAATGATTAGATAAAAACACTATTTGGTTTCCTTATCACAACTTGCAAGGTAAAAGTAGCTGTTTAAAGTTTCAGGTTTGTCATTACTTGCAGCATAAATCATGAAAAAATAAGTTAACGAATTTGATCAAAGCTTCACACAATGGTCAATGGAAGCATGTGAACTTAAGTACCAAACCATAACTTTTCACCACAAAATCTTGCTTAGATCAGCCTTCACAAGTCGGCGCGGGTTGATCTTTGTTTGAAAAACCCGGCCAACTCTAAGCACGGTGATGAGGATGGTTTTGTCAAAAAGAGACCGGCACATGTTTTGAGGATATTAGCAATAAGTGTGTACTGCTTGCTATGGGGAAAGAAGGGGCAAGGTTTTCATGTGAAATAGTTTAAGGCTAGGGATTTGCGTAATATGTTCGATAATAAACCGTCAACATATATGATAGTACTTTTGACTTGCAACAACATTAATTTGCAAAGACTATAACAGTGCATAACTGCATATTAGAAATAATGAACCTAAATTCTATAATTACTACTTTCTTCTTTTTCTCTTGTTATATGGTGATTTGTACAACAAGAGCATAAATAAAGAGAAGTAACCTAAAAAAGCATGAAAACCCAAAGGCAAACTAAATGGAGAGCTAGAACAACAAAGAATAAAACAAGAGGCTGAAGATATACCTGGAAATATTTTCTGCAAATAGAAGAGTATAGATATACCATCTTCATTTTCACTCCGTAACTCAGAAGAACTATAAAGCACAGTTTCACTATAATAAGGCGTGAAGACACTGTTTTACCATTTGCACACCAAGTCACATATTAGATGTGTAGTTTTGAGATATATTAACCACTAAAAGATCAAAAGCAGATCATACAAAAGCAGCAATGAAAGATTTATATATAAATGTTACCAGAAAGGAAGCATTTCAGAAACTGGCTTTGCAGGAGGCATGTCCATGAATAAAGAATTTGTGAAAAATTCCAATCTTCTTCTTGCTTCAAGATTCTTAGGTATGTTAGCAGCGGAATCCTTTACAGTGAAGAGAAGGTATAATCTTTTCACTTGCTCCTTCTGCAACGAAGAAAATGAAATGAAGAATTTCAGCATATCAGACACACTCATGTGGCCCCTGCTAAAGCATTTTATATAGTGACACTGGGGCAGTTATCTGATAAACTCCAAAGACATGGTTGTGTAAGTTTTACAATCTCAGGATCCTTTGGCCACTGTATCCTAGAAAACAGTCGTCCCTCATTTCTTGCCCTTGCCAATATGTTCCATGTATCAAGCTGCTCTCTGAGATAAAGAACATATTAACTCAAAAAGAACTAGTAGTCCATCTAAATTACTGTATAATAAGGAAAGTTCCACAAAATGTTACCTTAGGGCAGGTGCAAGCAGATCATGTGTGACAACATCATACAGTTCATACATAGCTTTAGGAGCACCTTTGGCAAGTACAGGAGTTTCACTTCGGCTCTGAAACAACATTTTAGCATCAATCACGTTCAAATCACAGTAAAGTACTAGAATCCCCGGAACCTTTTAATTTTAAGTGCTCTGGCAAAATCACGAAAAGGACTCCCATAATAAAAAAGTAGACAAGACCAATTTGCATGTATACACTTATACACTATCTTTAAAGAGCTAACAACTAAAATTTTGTACAAATCTCCATAAGAAAATATCAATACATGCAGAAATAAGACGTCTCCATAACATAGAATAGTAGCTGTTAAAACGACTACAAGAGGCGAAGAAACAGAATAAAACTGGAGGTGCACCATGAGAGGTCATTCTTGTTCAAAGAGTCATTTGCAGATTTAACATTTAAACCAGCCTCCTTAATAGCAAACCCTTGTTTCTTTTTTTTTTTTAAAGCCTAGCGGGTGGGAGATTGGTAATATCTACAATTGTTGAACGCCTTAAATTTAATAAAAAGATGGAAGACGAACAACATAAGGATGGTTGGGGAAGGATTAACACAATTCAGAAAAAAAAACCCTCAAAGTAATCTTTACTATGGACATGGTTCCGCAAGCTATTCCGAGGTCAAACAATACTTCTACATTTGTACAGAGGAGAACCTAACTAGAACTTTTGTAGATAGTTGCTGGAGAACTAACAGGTGGGGTCATGTAAATCCATTTATTAACATGAAAGAATCTGGAACAAAGCTGCTTTCTTGGAAAGAGATTTTAGCCTCGTGCTAAGAGCAAGTAAAGGAAATTTAAAAAAAAAAACTGTGCGAGAAAAGTTCCTAAAGCATATAATTGAAATGGAGGGGCAGTACCAAAAGTCCGGTCAGAGCTGCAAGTTTGGACAAAACATTTGGAAGTTTTGTGAGTGTCAATGCTGTGAAAAGGGAACCTTCTGAAATACTATTGTTTATTTCTCGATAAATTCTTTCAACCCTGAAAAGAATAGAACACAGAAGTAATAACATAATAACTTTAAATGTTTCAAATTAGATAACAAATGAGGAGCTAGATTAAAATTCCATTTCTTGTATGAGAAGATAAATGAATCGCACCAAAGCCTCCCCTCTCCATCAACTAGAGAATATAGAATCTTTTCAATACTGTAATAGCATTCCTGAACAGCATAGGCCATGTATTCATCCTTGCAAATCCTACTCCAAAGGTCAGCTTGGGTATCTTTGCAATCCAAAGCCAAGTCAATTGCAAGCAAGATCTGAAATATCAGTTGTCAGAATACAGATTTAAATATTATTTAGGAAAAATTGAAAATAATAATCCCAACTATTGCCGGTCCGCCGATAATAATCCCAACTATTGATTATATTTGTATAATCCCAACTATATGGACCATCCGCCAATAATGGTCCATGACTAGATATTACCTTCCAAAAAAGTGAATTTTAAATAGAAATTAAGTGTAAAAATTAAAAGTTGGGAATATTTATAGGGATTACTTGCTATATCTCTTCTCATCCACTTTAGAAACTACAAGAATTTATTTACAGGGATCATTATTGGCGGAAGGTCCCTAAAGTTGGGATTATTCTGAAATAATCGATAGTTGGAATTATTATAAGCGGACCGCCAATAGTTGGGATTATTACTATCAATTTTTCCTATTATTTATTGAAATTAGATACTTCCTCCGTTCTACTTAAGTTGCAACATTCCCATTTTTACGCTTGCCAATGCACAACTTTGACCGTCATTATATTTAATTCTCTATTAGTAAAAAGAAATTAAAAATCAGATTATGGAAATTTGTAATGAGACGGATTTAACAATATTTTTCAAAAAAAGAATAATTTTCATACATTAATAAATAAAATGTAGTCAAAGTAGAGTATGTGAATAGTGTAAAATTTTCCATGTTGCAACTAAAAAGAAACAGAGGATAGTATAACACAAGGGACAGGGGACTTTTAGTAGGTATCACCTTACTACTAAGTAGGAAAAGTGGCCATTGAACTAATTTCAAACTTCCTGTGTTGCTGGGCATTGAAAGCAAATCCATCTCTCTAACATAATATAACAATTAGAAATGTAAAACAGGAAATAAAGACAATTGAGTAAACAACATCTCTTCATGGGACATGCAGAAGATGAAAGGTTTAAACTGAAGTAACTTACCTATTACTGATAAAATCTTCTTCCCGCAAGCTTTTGATGATCTCATTCCAAAAAGGTGAAAACATTACTGCATATGCCTTGTTATTATCTTGAGGTAGCTTTAAAACAGAATGTACAAAAGAAAACAGAACTAGTAAGTGAATATGTATAATGGAAGAAAACAGTAAACCTCAGACTCAAAGGATGAAAAATATAAAATAATTAAAAGTCAATAACCGGAGTAAGCTTTTAATAAACCCTAAAAGGAAGAAATGATGACCCCACCTGTGAGGACTGTCTCTCAAAAGGCACCCTGTAAGAACATAAGCAAAGTGTACAATGATTCAGTGACTGGTCACCAAAGTATGTACTACAACTCTTGAATTCTTGATTATATAAAAACATTATAACCATAAAAAGTATTGAGTGCAAGCGTAAACTTCTTAAGTGTTTTATAGCATGGAGCCTATTCCAGAATGTGACCTTTGAAGTTTGAACACAAATATAGATATATCTGAACATCCTTTTACACAGATATAATGTTATGGCTCCAGTTGAAGGCCAAAGTGAACGGAAAGTGGATATGATGAAAGTGAGACACGGGTTTGGCCATGGTGATAGGCAAAAGGCTGCAGGAAGAAAGTGCTGAATCACAGGACACAAAACATAATGATTTCAAAATATTATGAAGTTCCCTCAGCTTATTTTGTAGATTGCTTCTAGTTTTTTGTCAATGCAGGAGCCCTCTTTTTACAGGATGATTAGTACATTTAATATATAATGCTCCCATCTCAGCAACTTGGTTTTAATAAAATAAAGTAATAAACTAAAGGCCAAAGAGTCAAATAGGCCCTCGAACTAACTTAAAAAGTGCAAATCACCCCTTATATAGGAGGATCTGCCCGGCCGCCGTCATTTGGGGCGGTTCCCGGTGGAATGTTTTGATGACATTTTTTTAGCATCTTCTTCATTAAGTCTAGTTTACTCTTACCAAATTTCAGTTAAAAATTCAATCGGGAAGGTAGTCGAATGAATTCTTGAAGATAACAGCGCAATTAAACAGCGCAGTACATTTCATTTCAGAAAATCATTTGACCATCTTCCCGGTTGAATTTTTATCTGAAATTTGGTATGGCTAAACTAGACTTAATGAAAAAGATGCTTAAAAAAAATCAACAAAAAATTCCACCGGGAACCGCCCCAAATGGCGATGGCCGGACAGAGCCTCCTATATAAGGGGTGATTTGCACTTTTTAAGTTAGTTCGAGGGCCTATTTGACCCTTTAGCCTAAACTAAATAAAGGCAATCACTGTATCAATTGAGCTCCCCAGTCCCCAATCTTCTAGCAGTTTGTTCTTTCCATTTTGCTGGTCTTCCTTTTGTGGAGCCTGCCACAAATGCCTCAGATACATGCACATTTACCCTAGTGGCCTACTCTCAAGTGGTGCCATAGATGTGAACCTTAATACGTTCAGAAATGCTTTTGCTCAGCACCACTATATTTTCACTCCTATTGCTTTCAGAAACCATTACTACAAGTACACAACCTCATTCTGTCCTCTTTTACTGCTTGGTTAAAGGCAGGTTTAAGCCGGCACAAGAGCATAAATCAAATTTAGCAAACAAACAAGCTAAAATATCAGAATGTCATAAACCAATCTTCATAGTTAGTAGAGCACTCTTCCTGTCTAGGTTACAAAAGAGTGACATGTACAGAATTATACATTACTTGTCTTAAAACTTCCTTAGGTCGAGTTATGGGCACACTGGAAATAAAGAACTAGCACTGTAAAACAAAGGCGGGGGGTGGGGGGGCAAAGAGGAATGTGTGGAATTTGAGAGTACTGGTGGGGAGGAAAGGGAGTGTTCAGTCTGAGGGAATGAGGAGGAGAAGCAAACCATGGAGAACAAGTGATGAACAGCTCATGATTGAAATGTCCACCAACCTTTTTTAGGATGTTGCATCCTTTGATAGGGATTCTTGGAGATTTTTATAGGGTCTACGGATAAGGGTAAGGCAATCTTTGTAGAGTTGAAAGCAACAGGTGTTAAGTCTCTTTTGGCCCTGTAACTAGAGGTGCATTGTATGGGCGCTAGCTAGTTCTTTCTTACTTCTGATCTACTTTTCTATGTTGTCTTATTGATGTTGTTGGTGTCGCGCCTAACATTGCCGTTGTGACAACTTTGTGTGCAGTGACACGTAAAATTTATGCCTGCAGATTTTTCCTAATATGAGGAGACTCAGGTACAGGACTCCGTAAATTAAGAAGGAAAGTTCCATCTCACTTTTCAAGTCTGGTCACTTTGATGTGCATTTCCTTTACTATAGGGAAAACAATACACATGCAGATCTTGGAAGACCAAAGGATGCAATGTTGCCTCAAGTAAAAAAGCTCTTTATCAGTTTAGCTACCGTTCTTTACAAAATCCACTTTATGTTTCCTTCTATTACCTTATATTTCTTTCGATTTGTTTGCAGATGATGATGGGTTCGACTCCCTAATCCGCACTTTTGTAAATTATTTACATCTGTGCTATTTTCTCCAGTCCAGCAGTTCGGGCATGCACTATCCGGTTAAAAGTAATACCAGCTATCTTGTTAAAAAATGTGGGACAGATGAACCCAACTGTTAATTCTTCCACACTTAACATACTACATGTTGGTTTCGTTTTCATCCCCTTCCCTCCAGGCAATACACATCTCAACTCTTTCAAAGAGGACTGAGCTCATTCACGTCATGCAAAGATGCTCCTCAGCAATAGACAGCAACCCCTGAGGTCATCCCAAATTCACTTCTTCAATATCAAAAGTACATATTTCTTATATGCATTACATATCTATATAACAACCCAAAATTTGGGGAGTTAATCTGGACCACATGTACTAATCTGATGTCTCTCTCTATCTCTCCCTCCCTAAGTTATTCTAGAAAACAAATACATAATGTTCATTCCAACATTGGGATTAAAAAGGGAAGTTCCAAGTGGGCGGAGACGAAAAGAGAACAAAAAAATTCTTGATGCTTACCTTGTTGCTCGAGACACGAGATTCTTGACAAATGCTTCAGGGAAGCTCTCAAAACGTTTATGAACCATGGCAATCGAACGTATCTAGGTAAAACCATGTAGAAAAGAAAATTCAACACAAGCAAGCATATGCAGTGTAATACAAAAGGAATAAAGATGTTTTTACTTGGACTGTAATATGTCCCAGACCAGACCAGACTTAGATAGTTATAAAAATACAAAGAGACTAGACCAAACCAGACTAGACCAGCAAATTACAGTCCAAGGAAAAACATCCTAAGCCAACTTCAAAATAAATTACTAAAAACAGAAGTGATGATTCAGTAGTCTGCAAATTTGAAGTAGATGAAAGAAATTCAAACCTCTCCTAACCGAGCTCGTGCGCCCATTATACCACCCACAATTGCAGATAACAAAGTGTACCATATGTGAATATCCATGATATAAATCTAGGGAAATAGAGAAAAGGCTCAGTAAAGTGAATACCCAAAAGGGAATTGGGAAAATAAAGAGAAAGAACAATATGCACCCAGCCGAGCTCTAACTTGGGTGTGCTCAAGCTCAAAAAAATGTACTGGCTCCAGTTCGAGCTCGAATAAACCTAATATTTTCAACTCAATCTTGGCTCCGGTATGGCTAGAGCTCAACTCGGGTAAGGCATGAGTTTAGCTTGAAATTTTTATAAGGTCAAAGTTTCAACAAGATACTAGAACTCAAGTTTGAGCCAAATATAAATCTTCTATTTTCAAAATTATGTATTCTATTTAAGTAAATATACATTTACATATACATATACATATGTTATGGCTCGAGAGTCACTAGCCAAATGGAATTGAGTTCGAGTACAGCTCGATTGCTTAACGAGTTGGCTCAAATTTGGCTTGAATTATAATTTGACCGAACATGAGTCAATTTTTGCTGAGTGGCTCACGAGTAGCTCACGAGTGGCTTGACTCGTTTGCACCCCTATATGAGACTATGGGCCAATGAGAAATATTGTAATAAGATACGACATACTGAGAATTTTGATTCTTCAATCAAATATTATAGATGATACACTTCATACTAATTACGCAATTAAATATGGTTAGAAGTAGCACCAATTAGTTAATTACCCATGGCTACCCATTTTGTCAGAGCAAAATCTACAAATACAAATAGCATTACAACCACCGCAGGAACAATGTTCAGTACCTTACTGTTTTTTATATGCTAAGTTGCTAAAAAGTGTAATTTGCCTACAATTGGAGAGTTCCTAGAACTATCTCAACTACTTCTATTAAAGTGACAGAATGCATTTACCAGATCAAATTACATTAAGTATAAACAAATCAGTCCCAGTGTAAGAAACCAAAACATAGAAACCACTTACAGCAACAACAGGAGCCCACAAGCTGGCAACGGTCAATGCATTATAATTATCTGACATTGGATTCAAAAGCAATAAGGCTAACTTTTTATAAGAGTGTCAATACAGGAAATGGAACAAAGGAAAATAAGTAAAGAAAGAAGACCAAATGCCCATTAAGACAAAATAATAAAATACCGATGAAGATGAGTTTTGTTTTTCATATTTCAAGTTAAAAGGAAATATTATGTTCACCTATCTTTGTAATAAAAGACATTTTTATATAAAATTGATGAGAATCATTGATGCATGATAGACATAGATAAGAATGAGGGCACATCAGAGACTATCATTCCTTTTTTTAATGAGAGAGTATCATTCCTATTGAAACATAGAAAAATAGAAAATTGCAGGATTTTTTGTGTTGCTACAAGAGTGCACATGTCCCTGTAAATAAACATTAGAAAGACGGAAAGTAATAATAAATTTGTGTTCATATAATATTGTATAGTAAAATAATATCCTAGAGCAAGTTCCATAATATTCTTCACATTTCCCCCACCACCACCAGTTGGAACATATATATATATATAATATATATATAGTACTCTTCCGGTCAGGAATTCCTGACCGGAACCGCCGTCCGGACGCCGCTGTTTGGTCGCCTTCCCGGTGGAATTTTTGATGAAATATTTATGGCATGTTCTCCATCAAGTCTAGTTTATCCACAAAAAAATTCAGCTAAATATTCAATCGGGAAGGTCGTCAAATGAGTTTTGGAAGACAACTGCGCCCAAAATATACATATAAAACACACTTATCTTCCAAAAATCATTTAACGACTTTCCCGATTGAATATTTAGCTGAATTTTTTTGTGGATAAACTAGACTTGATGGAGAACATGCCATAAATATTTCATCAAAAATTCCACCGGGAAGGCGGCCAAACGGAGGCGTCCGGACGGCGGTTCCGGTCAGGAAGGTTGGACATGAACTTCTCTCTCTCTCTCTTTCTCTCTCTCTCTCTCTCTCTCTCTCTCTCTCTCTCTCTCTCTCTCTCTCTCTCTCTCTCTCTCTATATATATATATATATATATATATATATATAATTATATATATAGAAACTGTGCAATATAGTACCAAAAGACAGACAGGGTTCTAAAATAGGACCATGTATGTTTCCTTCCTCAAATAGAACTTACTAAGTCCTATTAAAAGAATAAGTTGATTAAAACTTCCAAAAATAGTTGCAACACTTTCATTTTCAGGTTCTCGCTAACGCACACCTTGACAATTAATATATTTAATTTGCTATTGGTAAAAAACTAAAAAAAAATATTTTGAAAATTTAAAACAAAAATGATTTTAACAATATTTTTAAAATAATAAATTTATATAGCATTATTAAATAAAAAATATTGTTCTATCTTATGTTCTTATGTTAATTTTATTTTTTTATTTTATCATACCTTATCTTTTTATACTACCTCGGTACCTCCGTCCCATAAAATTTGGCAAGCTTTCCTTTTTTGGTCGTCCCAAAAAACATTACCATTTCCATTGAAAGTAGCAAATATGTGGCATAAGTTATTTCCCTCTCCTCTGTACAAAACTCAACCACACAGTTTTTACTTTATTATTCTATGTGCAAGTCAACTTGGCCAAGTTTTATGGACGAAGGGAGTATTTCTTATCTTTCTGCTCTTGTTGACTCTGACATCATGGATTGATTCATGTTAGCCGACCCAAAAATCTCTTGGGAATAAGGGTTAGATGTTGTTGTATTAATAAATAAAATATAGTCAAACTAGAGCATGTGAATAGTGTAAAATTCAACATGGTGCCATTATTTAAGAACAAAGATAGTTTATGTGCATATATAGGGCTGGATTCAAATAAAAAGTGCACTTTTCATGAAAAATAAAAATAGATCTGATGCATTCAATTTATGATCAAATGACTCAAAATATGCCATCATTGCATTAAGATTGATCAAAAACATGGTGGCATATTCACAATGAAGTAAAAAAATGGTAATTTGTAAAAGTACATCGTTTGGAGGCAATAGTGCACCGTGCATGAAAAAAAGAGCAATTGGTCGCACACATGAACACCACTTTTTATTAGAAATGAGAATGATTTTGGAGCGTTAGATTAGGTATCGTCATGGTTGTCGATGGCGCGGAATGGCGTGTGCGCCATCGCCATGAGGCGCACATATCACCTCTGCGCCATGAAAATAGGCCGTGGCGATGGAAATACACCTGGCGACACCATTCTCTCGCCATCGCCATTCTCTTGCCTTCGCCATGGCGATGTGCGATGTTTTTAACACATCAGCCGGTATTGCTTTGTAATTTTTTGGGCTGTTGGGCCTGCTAAGTGCTCTAACATTATGTGAGGCCATAACCTTAATAAAACTCTAATAAAAAATTAAAACTTTAGCCCATTATACTAACAACAACCCTAATACAAGTAAATAAAGACACAAAGCTATACGACAGAACCAGAAACGACAAAGGGGGGAACTCGATGACTTCTTCCAATTACAAAAGGTATGACTACCTTCTTCAATGCTCTGTATTAATGAAGAAAACTTCAGTTTATACTTTATACACTTATAGTTTATACAAAACAGTATATGAATATATGATTCCTGAAAATGTGAACTACATTTAAATATTTAATACAAAATCTGGAATGTCAACTTCATTTAATAAAAAAACTTCATGTGGTTTGAGTGCTAACTGTTAAACACTTAAACATAAACCAAGGCAACAGACCAACGGTAGAGGATTTAGTTAAATGCTATGCTAGTTTATCAATTTAAAGTGAATCTAGTGAGATACTTAGATTATTTGTTCAGATAATTTAAATTGAAGTTTTTACTTTATGTTAAAATGAAGTTTTTACTTTGTGTTCAGATAATTTATGTGAAGATAAATGTTCAGAACAGCTGGAAGTTTTAAATTAACATAAATGTTCAGCTTGATGTTTTAAATTGACATCAATGTTCAGATAAATTAGAACAGCTCAGCCTTTAATGTTAAATGTTATGTTACTTTATCAATTTAAAGTAAATTTAGTTACATACTTAGATGATATGTTCAGATAGTTTAAATGGTATGTTCAGATTATTTAAAATGAAGTTTTTACTTCAAAACTCAAAGTATTTAAATTGATAAATTGATACTCCCTCCGTCCCGCTAAGATTGTCCCAGACACTATTCACTTGGTCAACACAAATCACTCTTAATCTTTTACTTTATATATCGAATTTGATTCTGGTTTTTGCTACTTTGTAAAACTTTTAATGTAGTTTCTGAATATGTAATTATTTTTTCCTAAAAATAATTTGAGAGCGGACAGGGATCTGTTTGCTTTATCATCGGTCAAGCATCATAAACCGAATTGTCCCAATCTTAGTGGGACGGAGGTAGTACTTTAATTTAGTTTTGACTTTAGATGATGTTTTTACTTTAAAGGCTGATGAAGTTAAGTGAGTTAACATATCAATTCAGAATTTCAGATCAATGTTTTTACTTTAGAACAATGTATTTATCATTTACTCTGTCAATTTATCACAGTTAAGTGAGTTAACATATCAATTTAGATGACGTTCATTGTTCACTTTAAATTGATACCAGTGTAGTTATAGCTTATAAGATTCACCATATAAAAAAAGACCAGTGATCAAAAGTTTGAAGGTTCCATTTCTAAACGGGAAGCCAGTGATCAGTTTTTAAACTATTTATAAAAAAGATCATTGATCAAAGACCAGTGTAGCACACGCAATCTTAACAGGAATCCTTCCTATTAATTATAGCAGGAAGCCACTTTCTTAAAACAGTCTATTACTATATGTCTATACACACTAAGATTTAGCACGAAGCCACTTTCTTGAAGCAGGAATACTTGCTTAAGAAGTATGAATTTGATACTTCAAATTGCAAGATATGAAACTTTTTCGAAAAAATGGCACGGGTATCATTAAATGACTTTTGATTTCCACATTTATGACTCTTTTCAATTTTTCAAAAAAACTGATCGATGCCCTACCTCTTTCATCATTTGTTCGATGCTTCCTTCCCTCTTCATTTACGCAGGTTTCCTTCTCTCTCCATTCGCACAAGGCACGACCAGAGCTGCCATGGATGCAAGAGACGAAGCTCCAACGCCCTCCGCCGCCACTGCTCCAGCCGATGCCAACGCCCTCGTTCGTGTTCTCCGACACAGCTGTAGCCGCCAATCTTCTTCTTCCCCTTTCTTCTGTCTGTAACTCCACCGTTGCTGCTTTGGAGCACCACCGTAGTTGTCATCTTCGGTGGAGCTTGTCAATCTCTGCCGCTTCGGCGAAACTCCGTCGATATCTTCTTCGTTGGAGTCTGACAGATCTGAGAAGATCTGTAGATCTATACATCTTGGCGGTTAGATTCCAGATCTTGGTGGCTAGGGTTGCTTGTTAGGGCCGTGTGGTGGCCTTGGCGCTAGCTGCCGGTTGCTGGGAAACCGACGAGCAATAGTCATGGGGGCGGAGCGGGGTGTGATGGTGGTGACCGGAGTGGCAGAGGTGACTGGTGACCGGATGTTCTGGTTGTGAGTGTCAGTGGTGGTGGTTACCGCGGTGGTGACCGTCAGTGGTGGTGGTTACCGCGGTGGTGACTGTCAGTGTAAGGGATGGGTTGTGAAATCAGAGAAGGCGTGTCACTGTGACCGGCGGGCAGTCACTGTGACTGGGGGCAGTCACTGTGGCCGGCGGGCAGTCACTGTGGTCGGTGGAGCAGTCACTATGACCGGTGGGCAGTCACTGTGGCGGCAGAGTCACTTTGACCGGAATAACTTCGACCGGAGTCACTTGGTCGGAGTCACTTGACCGGAGTCAGTCACTGAGACAGTTGACCGGAGTCACTGAGATAGTGACTAGCGGCTGCAGTGGCGGCGGCGATACAGCCGGCGGCGGCGATACAGCCGGCGGCGGCAATACAGCCGGCGGCATGACAATTCCGACAACGATTGTTGTGGTGGCGGCTGGGTGGTTGAGAATAATTTATTACTCTTAGTGGTAACTAATAAG